TGATCCTTGTGTTTATTCCCCCAGGGAGTTCAGAGCTGACCCTCCCATCACTGCCATCTCTAAGTTGGCTGATCCTTATCTTTATTCCCCCAGGAAGTTCAGAGCTGACCCTCCCATCACTGCCATCCCTAAGTTGGCTGATCCTTGTCTTTATTCCCCCAGGGAGTTCAGAGCTGACCAGGAGTGGATGTGGCAGCTCTAAGTCCGTCCAGGAGCTCAGAGGGTCTCAAAACACCCAAATCTCCCTTTCATTCCCACCAAATGCTCCTTCCCTCTGGGAATAAAGCCTGGGTTTTACCTGCAGGCATGCACAGGGAGATCCTTGGTGTAGTAGGTGTCTTCCTCATCCTCCTCAAAGTTGAGCTCTGCCAGGAGCTGGCTGGTCTTGGCCACGTTCTCATCCACAGCCCCGTTCTGCAGGATCCCATCGGGACCATTCACCTGGAACACAGCTCAGAGCTCCAGTTCTGCCCCCAAAACACCACAAAGCCAAGGAAAACCACCCCTACTCCTCCCAGCAAACGTTTAAAATCCTCAACAGGGAAGAAAAATGTTCCTAAGAGCATTACACACCTTATGGAATCAATCCATCAGCTCCTGTTTTACAGGAATATTTGAACTCCAGCTGATAAGTGGGGGGAAAAAAAAGCTGCCAAGAGGAGATTGCTTTGCTGCAGTCCCATTTTTCCACAGCCTTACATAACTCCTAATCAATACCTGCCCCATTACCTCCTGCTTCCTGGGATTAGTTAAACTCTCCAACTGATAAGTGAGGGGGGGAAAAAAAAAGTTGCCAAAAGGAGATTGCTTTGCTGCAGTTCCATTTTTCCACAGCCTTACATAACAGAATTCCATTTAAACAATATTCCAGCAGGATCAAATACTGTTGTTTTTTTGTTTTTTTTCCCTCCTGTTGTGTTTTTTTGTTTTGTTTTTTGTTTGTTTGTTTGTTTTTTGTGTGGTTTTTTTTGGGGGGGGGTTTGTTTTTTTTTTGTTTGTTTGTTTGTTTTTTTAATTTCAGGAATCCACCTGAAAACAGGATCTTTGTTGTACAGGACCCTCCTCACTTATTCCTGTTGTTTTTGAACACACCAGTGCCAGAACCAGGGAATTCTGCACCATTTGGTGCTGGGTCAGCAAGTTTTACACCCCCATCCTCCCCCAAGCCTTTTTCCTGGTAAAAATAACTCCTTTTTTGGGCACATTTCCCAGCAGGAAGGAGCAAAAGGGGTGTGGATGTCACTTGAATTTTGCCATGGCCAGGCCAGGTGGTGCCTCCTGGGCCTCCCAGGTGTCCTGGTCTCATTCCAGCCATGAGGGGCTTCAGCACCTTCAGCACCCCCCAAAAACTGTGCTCAGCCACTTTATTCTTGGACTTGTTCAGCCAAGATCCCACCAGAACCTGAGGAGGGTTTAGTATGTCACAATCCATGTTAATTTTGAGTGGAAAAAGGTGGGAAAGGGATCACCACAGTGACAGCAGTGATTACACAATAATAACATGGAATCAGTGCTGAGGTAACTTCCCTATCACAGCAAATTCAGGTGTATTTACCCCTCCCAATGTTTTAGAGATATATTTGGTTGGATGAGATTTATCTACAAATGGGAGGGTAAAAAAAAAAAAATCACTCCAGGCCTTTGTCTGAGAAAACAGCATTTTAACAACTGGTTTGCACTGAGATTTAATGCAATTTATCAGATATCTGAAAGGAAACTGTCCCCAGTGAGAACACCAAACCTTTAGCCAAAAAAAGAAAATAAAAATCTGATTGAAACAGTTGCTGCAGCATTTTCAAGCTGTTGAGACTCCCAAGTAAAGCAAAAACCACCTCACTCCTCTGAAAGTCTCCTTTGGGTTCCAGGCCAGGCAGTTTCAATATTAAAATTGAACAGCCAACTGCAAGAGTTAAAATTAAAACCAAGCAGGAGCCACTTCACACTTGCCCTCAGCAGTTGGGGACTGGACTGGGCTTGGTTTCCTCCCCTCCAAATGAAATGAGGTGTGTTTATAAAACACAGTTAAATGCTCTTTTTATGGATGGCTTTGAACAGAGAGAATCCACCAAGAGGAACCATCAGCAGAGGGGAAAAAGGAATTGAAAAAAAAACAACAAATACCAAAACCCACTGAAGGAGGTGCAGCAGCAGCAGAAGCCACCAGTGTGAGGAAGGCAAATGCTTCCCTGGGCAGCAGCATCTCCATGGGTGTGAGGAGAGAAATATCCATTTAAATGGATATATCCATTTGAAACTGGTAGTGCCCTCTCATAAAACAGGGCAACAGCTCCATCACTGAGTGTGGAACAGGTGGAATTCCGAAGCTTTAAGTTCAGCTGAATCTCTCAGCAGCAGCAGCAGCACTACCAGGTTTTTTCTGTCCCAAAACAGGCACATTTTTCTATTCTGGTTTTTTAATTTTTTCTACCCCAAAACAGGTGCATTTTTCTGTTCCACAGCCACTATTAATACACACCAGCTGACAAATTTAATTTGCCATTTCAATACATTTAATACATTTCTTGGGTGCTCCTAAAAACTTGGGATTCCCTGAGCCAGAATACAATTGGAAAGCTTGAGTTTTCTTAGGATTTTTTGGGGTTTTTTTTTCCTTTTTAAGGCAGAAAACGAAGAAATAACTGCAAGTTCCTTGTAGCTGTGCACGAGGTGACCCTGCTGGTGACCCCCTGGCGAGCTCCTGCCCTCAGCTGGGCAGGGATGATGTCACTGATGTCACTGATGTCACCTGTCCTGGGAAGATCCAGCAGCAGCCAGAGGCCCTGGCAGGCTCCCAAGGAGGAAGTGACTGTTCCCAACCCTCCTGTGATGTCACTTTATGTGCACAGGATTAAAAATCTGGCACCAGGAACTGTTTTGTGTGTGTGTGTGTGTGTGAGAGGGAGGGAGGGAGGGGAACTTCTCTATTTTCCAAGTGTTGGCTGCAACTTCTGGCACAGCAAGTTGAGCAGCTCCAAAGCTGAGGTGCCACAGAACCACCCCTGGGACTTCCCTGATCCTTTTTCTGGCCTCTGGAATAGTGGCTGGGGGACAATAAAGTCCAAGCTGGGGCTGCCCCTGGATCTCTGGAAGTGTCCAAGGCCAGGCTGGAGCAGCCTGGGGGAGTGGAAGGTGTGGGACTGGACGGGCTTTAAGGTCCCTTCCAGCCCAAACCAGTCCAGGATCCTCAGGTGTGAGTCCCCAGAGAACATTCCCAGCCCGATTCCCGCTGGCTCCCCTGGCTCCCACACCCCACCCAGCCCCAGGAGAGCACACCTGGATCCACCTCCTGCACTTCCACACTTGAAAGTGCTGCATTTCAAGCTGGAACAGGAAAATTAATTGCACTTCAGGAGGTGCTGGGCTGCAAAAGGACTTTTGCACCAGCAGCCGTGGGGATGCACTTCCAGATGGGCCCAATCTGGGGAATTCTCCTGGAATTATAGTTAGGAAAATATGCATTTTTGGACTTGGGTGGATAATCTGAGTTATTGTTTGTAGATTCTTCGCTCTGAGGCCCTGAGGTATTTAGTGGAGGGGCTGATAATCCCTCTGAAGGCTGATCTGCTTTCCCTTTCAAAAGGAGGAAGTGGCTCTTTTGGTGAGAACTCTCCCCCCACACCCCACCCTGGGCTGAGCTTCCAGATGGGACCTGAGCAACAAGAAGTCATTTTGCTGAGACAAAAAAGGCTTTGTTAGGGCTGGAAATCAAACCCAGCCTCCAGAGTCTAGACCAAAAAAAAAAAAAAAAAACCTGAGGGCTGCCCCAGCTTCCTTCAACCACTTCCAGCAGCTTCAGCTCCCACATCCACACCGGGGGCATTGCTGGGACAGGCCTGGGCTCAGCAGGGGAAAAACGAGGCAGAAATGAGAATTTCGGGGAATTAGGGATTGGGTTGGGTTGGGAAAAAATTAAAAGATCAACAAGTCCCACCCCCTGCCACGGGCAGGGACACTTTCCACTGGACCAGGGTGCTCCAACCTGGCCTTGGACACTCCCAGGGATGGAGCAGCCACAGCTTCTCTGGGCAACCTTTAAATTTACCTTAAAATATTCAGGCAAATCCATTCTTATATATTTCATTAGAGGTAAACAATGGGCATACAGTTTCCTAAATTAAAACCAGCAGAGAATGCCTGCCCTTTATCTTTTTCCACTGGACACTAATCAGTTTTAACAGCCTCTTAAACTATTAATTAAATATACAAAATAAACTTTATTAACTAAATAAACTAAATTTTTAGAGACCAATCCATCACATTTCCCTACAAAAAAAAAAACCAACCAAAAAAATCAGGTGCCCTGCACTGCTCAACTACTTTTTTTTTTTTTTTTAAACACCAGGACATGAAACAGCAGAGTAGAAGTTTACACCTTCAGCAGCTTCACCTATTTATTTAATTAGCTTTAATTATAATCACGGGAATAATATTTAATTAAGGAAAATGTGATCAGTTTGGAAGCTATCACTGAATACTCCCCCTGCCAAAAGGCACAACAAGCTTCAGTTACTTTGTTGAAGGCAGCAAAATTTTCCCCAGAACCTTTTTAAAAAAAAAAAACCAAACACCAAACACACACCTAATTTCTGATCTTATCACCCGTGAGGCCTCTGAAAGGGCAAGTCTGAGCAGATCCAGGGGGTTTGTTTGACTCCAGCTCAGGAGGAAACCATTCTTATTCCACTTCTGAGAGGGCCTTGTCAAAATAAATCCATCCTCCCTCCACACCCTCCCCAAAAACTGAAGAGCAGGATGACCACGAGAGTTTGCAGAAAGGATTAAAAGGGAAAAAAAAAACAACCATAAAAATCCCTTCCTTTTTGCCAGACAAACCAGCACCTGAATGTGCTCTCCAGATCTTTTAATATTTTTTTTTTCCCCTTTTCACTTCAAAGGCTTTTCAAACATGTTTAGACAAAAAGAATAATAATAATTAAAAAAAAAAAAGACCAATTATTAATCCTCTTGTCTGGTCTTTTAGCTTATGGGGCTTATTTTGGGGTGGGTTTTCTCCTTTTTCTGGCCATATGTTCTCTAATGGGAAGTTCTGGAGTGATCATAACCTATTAAAGCTTTAAAAATTTGAGGTTTTACTGGAAATTTTAAATTGATTCATGTATAGTCTGTACACAGATAAGATTTTACCACCGGTGCTAAATAATTCTGCTCTCTCAACGCTCAGAAAGTCGAGAAATTCCACCCAAACGTGAAGGCAAAAGAAAATAAAACAAACAGCCCAGGCCCTGCCTTCTGAACACACCGCCCTGAGCACATCCTGTGCCACCACCCAGGATGTCACCGAGCGCTTTCGGACACCAAAAGTGACTCACTCTGTCCCGGGATAAACCCCCAGGACAGGATAAAAACCCCTCCAGTCCTGCCCTCTCCACCTGGGGATCCCCAGGGCTGGGTCTGCTGCCCCTTTGCTCCTCTCGCGGCCCCCGACGCCGCAAATCCGGCGACAAAAAAAAATCGGCTCCGGGATAATAAAAAAAAAACAACAAAAAACCCTCACCTAAAACTTTCAACTCCTCTTTAAACTCAGCCCTTAACACGTGGATGATGTGGAAGCGTTTGATTGTTAATAAAGGGACAACACGAGTGTAACTGAAACTGAGCTTTCCATAAAACGCGGAAAAGTGGGAGTTTTTTTAAAAATATGGACGAGTTTTTCCGTGGTTTTGTCGCTTTTTCTACAGACACAGAGAAGGTGGAGCAGTGACAACGTCTTCACTCGTGAGCACGTAATATAAAATGTACCTTAAATTCCCTCCCTCCTTTCGCTTTTGTGAACTGCTAAACAAATAGAATGGGTTTTAATACCGAGTTATAGGAAAGAAAGAAAGAAAAAAAAAAAAACAACAACCAGGCCCTAAAACCTGTTTTTAAGTCACGAGGAAGCAGAACTTAAACCTCAGGCCAATATCGACTGTCCCCTCCAAGGCAAAGCCCAAACGGAGCGGGGCGGCAGAAAAGGAGGATAAAACCAATAATAATGGTAAAGGAAACCCGTAAATTTTAAACAGCAGAAGCGTATTTTAGCCAGGAGAAGTTAAAAAAAAAAAATAAAAAATTAAAGGCGAACTCCCTCAGCGCCCAACTTTCGACAACCGAAGCCACGTTTAAAGAGAAAAAAAAAAAAAAGAAAAAAAAATCGAGACAAAACTGAAATAACACGGAGCTTTTTGCGGTCGTTTTACCGCAAAAACGGGATCCATCGCTCCCCTTCCCGCTCCACACGCGGCTCCCGCTCCCCGCCCAAGCCCGACCCCAACCCGGGCCCCTTCCGGACACCCCCCTCTCCCCTCACGAACCTCCCCCAAAAAACCCTCCTCACCTGCGCTTCCAGCGGCCCCGGCGGGCCCTGCCCCGCGCCGGGGGGGCCTTGGCCTTGCTGCGGCCCCGCCTGGCCGGGCCCCGGCGGCGTCTGGGTCTGGCTGGGGAGGGTGAAGTCGGTGAACTCGAACTCGGAGCCCTGAGTGTCGGCGCCGAGCAGCTCGGCCTCCTCGGTGTCCAGGAAGGTGAGGGTCTGCGAGCTGGGGCCGTACGCCTCCACGCTCATGGCGGCGGCGGAGCCCTCGGCGGGCGCCTCTTCTCCCCTCCTTCCTTCCCCCTCAGCGAGCGCCCGGGCGGCCGCGCTACGCGAGCGGCGGGATCCGCCGCGCGCACCAGGCCGCGCCGCCCCCCCCCGGCCACACGCACACACCCCCCCCACACACACCCCACACACACACACGGAGAGAGAAGGCAGAGAGACAAGAGAAACGAACCCGGCGCTCGGGGCGGGTCCCCCCCCCACCGGAGGCGGCGGAGCGGCGGGGGCCGGTCGGGGGGGTGGCGGTGAAGGGGAGTGGGGGGGGA